CAAAACCTTTCAAGTTTGTTTAAGTTTAGAGCAAAAATAATAAAGAGTTTCACTTTTTCAGCTGGAACTAAATTTTTTGCACAAGAATTTTTGTACCTCCTTTCCTATGAGCTCCATATACTGCATCATATTTCAAGTGGCATCACATGAGAACAATTTCTTGAAGAACTGAACCTGATCTTCTGGTTTCCACCAAATATGAATAATCTTAGCATATGTAGCTGAAAGAAACCAAACTTCCCTGTTATTATTCTTTTTCTAGCACTAATCCACATCCTTTCCTCCTTTCACATCCTTGGATCTGAATAGCCTAGTAGATAATTCAAAAAGAGGAGGGCACCCTGGATCTGATATTTGACACCTCAAAATCTCAGATATTTGAAAAAGGGCTCAAAGAGTATTTTTCTTCTCATCCAATCTCTGGGGCTCCTGTATCTTGACAAATGCAAAGATTATTGTGTCGTAGATTATCATGTAAACTAGATTATCACGTAGAAACTAATGTCCAAGCTATTTTTCACCATGACTTCAAGTCTCCCCTTTTTTGCTCTACAGAATGTACATGAAACAGTAAACTTTCCAGATGTAGAAAAAATAAGAAACTTTCTTCTGTTCTCCTCTATATTCTCTAACATTCCATCTCTTTGCTCATTTCTGACTGATCGGCAAAGCTGTGGAAATATTAAGCCTGTAAGGACAGCTTGCACATACAAAACCTATGCCAATTTCTTGAATCATATTCAACTGAAGAACAATAGTGTAAACTTCATCCTTTAAATAAAACTCCATAACAGATTAAAATGATGAGCATCATATATTAATATTTACAAATGGCAATTCAAGTACCTCACTACTTGAGAGTAATATAGTTTGGAAAAAGGGATATTATTTTATGCATGATAAAAGGTATAGACCAAACAAACTCCAAATTATAGTAACTAAAAAATGCCAGTGAGTATTTATAATACTGTAGACCTTTTAGTTTTTTAGCTCTAAATACACTATCTGACTCATCTGGACAGAGGTTTTGGCAGAAATGAGATTGTCTGATATGCACAACACTGATTAAAAGCAATCGAAATCATGATGTATCTATGCTTACATCATTGCCAAAATGATTCATCTGTGTAGGATATATTCTTATTGCCAGAGATGTCACATATCATCTTGGCTAGAAACATTCAGTCACATCCCATTATGTTGAACTCTCAGAGTTTATTCAGATTCTTTCCTCTTCTGGAATTTTGTCAGGTTAATACTGCTTGACACATGTGGTCTTAAAATTTTCCATTCTAAATCTACAGCCATTTTGGCATTTGGCTGGATCTGGCCTTATGTGACCGGTATCACACTGACAATGCTTAGTTTGTTGAATTTTAAATCTATAATGTTTACTACATTATAGACCGATTGACAGCCAAGGAAATGTCTGCATTTGAGACCTTTTCTAAGATACATTTTCTTCTAAACGAGGCTATATTTTTAAAATTTGATTTGATATTGTATTTACATAACATGCTAAATCAAAAAGTTTTGCTTAAATTTTCTTAGCTTAAGCATAGCCATTTTATGTTATAGACAGGCAAATTTAAGCACTGGACAATAACTTACTGACTTGTAGTGCAAAACCCTTAGCACTGCATTTCTTCTTGGTCATTTGAAATATTGGCATCTTAGGACTAGTCATCAAAAACCAGAATTAAACATTGGCTTTGAATACAACGTTTATGAACCTGCTCTTGCCTATATTTTATTTTACAATCAGACGCTTAAGAATGAAGAGTTTATCTGAGAAATACAGAAGGGCAACCATTCCAAATCCAGGCACTGTTAGTTTTATGAGTATATTAAGCACCCATTACATCGTGTAAAGTGTTTATTGCAAATGGGCCTTAGCTACTAAAACATGTAGCTTCCTTTTATGTTGTGACTAAGTAATTTGAGAACTCTTTGGACAACAAATGTACAGAAAGGTTGCACACTGATTGTCAGCAGGGAAAACTGCCATCAAATCAATGTACGTATCATTCATCACAAATTACAAACAAGGGCTTATTGGGCACCTGTGGTGCATGGTCTCTTTCACTGCAAATACCAGATTTTCTGAATCGAACTGTAACATAAAGTTTAGCGATACTCAGTCTCTGCAGAGTTGTGGCACTACTATTTCTGAATTTATTTTTTAAAAACTATTCCCCTGCTAACAGCACCTTTCCATCTTATCTCTTACATCCTTCCCTGCATCAGTAATATCTGGCATAGTCTATTTTGCGTTGACTTTTACTTATGATACTTAAAGCCTTCTTAAAAAGTACAAAAAAATAACATTTAAGAAATTTTAAATATTGTGATTTATTTTGTTAAAATTAATTTTAAGAAGTTTTGAGGCCAGGCGTGGTGGTTCAGCCTGTAATCCCAGCACTTTTGGAGGCCGAGGCGAGAGGATTGCCTGAGCAACTTGGTGAGACCTTGTCTCTACAATAAACCACAAAAATTAGCCGGGCGTGGCGGCGTGCGTCTTAGTTCCAGCTACTTGGAAGTCTGAGGTGGAAGGATCGCTTGAGCCCAGCAGGTCTAGGCTGCATTGGCCGGTAATGTGTCACTGCACTCCAGCCTGGGTGACAAAGAGTGAGGACTCCAACTCAAAAAAAAAAAAAAAAAAAAGAAGTTTTGAATATTACAATTTCATTTTACCTTGTGAAATTAACTTTAAGACATTTTTAATATTGCTATTTTATTTTACTTAAAGTTAATTTTAAGAAGATTTAATATTGTGATTTTCTTACTTAGTACAATTAATTTTTAAGAAGTTTAAAATATTCTAACATGCTATGAGTTCACTAGTAACAACCAGGAATGTCATAAAACCAGCACGTCTTTTTCCTAGCTCCAATATCCTTTTTCCTCACATTAAAAACCTTGCTATCTCCCTTCAGTTCCCCACCCTTTTCTTATTCCTGTTTATCTTCCTCCCACAAAAGCGACAACAAAAAAGCACTGTATTTTGAAAATGAAAAGCTAAAAAACAAAATAAAACACACCCCCATCTCCAAAACACTTAAGCATGCGACTAATCGTGAGCTAAACACCTTAATTTAAACTTGGACTCAAGCCTCTGTGGAAGCTACCAATACTCAGTCCTACTCTCTTCAAGGAACTGCCCTGTATTCCAACAATCGGCCCACATAGTCTTGGGGTTATTTTAAAGAGGGAAGTTATGCTGCTTTCTTGACAGGCTGAGTTCAGGAGGAAGTACAGCAGCCTTCTCTGTTGTTTTGTCAATGATAAGTAAGCTGATCTAGCAAGTTCTCAAGCTGCTCAGTCTCATCACAATATGCAACTTTTGACAAAAAGTACTAGTATATATTTATTGACTCCGTCTCAATTCCCACAGGCCACAGAGCATTAGGGCAGAAAGTAATTCTGTGGCATTGCAGCCCCACCAGCCCTGCTTATCATTTTACCATAACGTAGCTGAGGTTTCCTGAGGAAATCTCAAAGTTAAATCTCAATGCCAAGTCAAAAAGTTTTGCTTAAATTTTCTTAGGTTAAGCATAGCCATTTTATGTTATAGATGGGCAAATTTAAACACTGGACAATAACTTATTGACTTGTAGTGCAAAACCCTTAGCATTTCTTCTTGGTCATTTGAAATATTGACATTTTAAGACTGGTCATCAAAAACCAGAATTAAACATTGGCTTTGAATGCAAAATTTATGAACCTGCTCTTGCTTATATTTTATTTTACAATCAGATTCTTAAGAATTATTTTCTACTATTCCGAAACAGGGCATAAGGCATACTAATGAATTCAACTGTGATTATTTCCCAGTCAATGAAAAGTGCCACTTCATTTGTCACGTAGTATCTGATTCCAAATGCCATTTTAATTTTGCTGAAGGAATTGATGAGAAATTGCCACAGAAAAGGGGGAAAGCTAACCTCTTGAATCTTTGGCCTACAGCAACCCTGCCATCAGACTTGCTGGGAATGCCATCTTTGATACCAGATGGACAGAGCAACTAATGCTAAGACTACTATGGCTTTGTTTTGACCACTATTCCTATCAGAGGATTCCTGTAGCCCCCTCTCCCAGAGTGAATATACTGGAAGCACAATGTCACCATCACCACATCACATTATAACATTTTCCTGAGTTCATAGCAAGAACACGAAAAAGTTACCTTCCTATGATGTCTCACACATCACTTCCAAAGTTCTTGTATAGTTATCATGTCCTTTCATGTGATGCTCACATCCACTCTATTTATAAGGTGGGGAAACTGAAAGTAGCAGACACTATCAGTGCCCAAGCCACATGCCCTGCCATTCACTGTTCTCAAGCTTGCTGAAGGCTTACTACTACAAAGTCACCTGAGGGCTTCCTCTAGCTGCAGGAGTGTGCTCAGTCTTCCCTGGGAAGTGCTGGGGAGTTAACTATCCTGGGGAGCAACCTTCAATGGATCCCACAAGGTTTCTGGGTAAATAGCCCAACTTCCTCACCCCTCTGGGAGGACCTCTCCTGAGGTGTGTTCTACAAGATCTCTCAAAGGTCCCCAGTGGGACTGGCACCCAAAGCAGCAACCTGCTAATTAACATGCCTTGGACTGTCTGCTTTCCTGTCTCATTTCCTTACTCCCATACTGGTGCTTCCTGGGCTTACCTTCCAAATAAACTCCTTGTCTCTAAATCCTTGCCTGTTTCTGGGGAAGGCCAGCCTAAGAAACTGGGGTACAGGGAAGATTATTATCTGCTAAATACCACAAGCTACTTAATGGAGAACCAGGACGGGAACCCAGGACTTTGGGCTTCTGGCACATTTACCAGATTAGGTTGCTTCTTGCTGATGACCAGTGCTTTATAGAATTGGTCCCAGGACTTCTGGGAAAATGAAGACACTATAAATGAAAGAAAGTTGTTAGCTAGCTACTCATGGCTTTTTAAGAACCCACTCACCACCACCAGCGGGAGGAAACAAAAATGAAAGGTAATAATTACCTAGCATGACGAAAGGGACTCCCAGGAAGGTGGAATTGTATTTTCCCCCAGTAAGATTGATGATCCCAGCTGCAGTGAGGGTGGCCAGGCTTATGGTCACCAACCCGAGCAGGCCTAGCCAGGGTTTGCTGCGGACGCAGTCCTGCATAGAGCAGCAGAGGATGGCCATGGTGACCACCAGGATCAGGCTGGTGACCAGGTAACGTTCTGACACACGGCTGGTCTTCTGGAAATCTTCCCTCAGTGATGAGGATGTATAAGGGTACATTTTGACTTTGCTGTTGGATTTCTGGAACAGTCTGACAGTGTCGCAGAAGCTGGACTCCCACCTCTCGGCCACCATGTCATTGAGACTGTTGATTGACTGCAAGTAGTAGGTGAGCTGGATAGCCTCTGCAGACTTCACTCGGTCCTTGCTGTGCACAGTGACACCCCCAAGCTGGTGCCCATTGTACACAGCCCTGCCGTCCTTTAAGTGAGTGATCGGGTATGTGATAGCAAAATTGGTCCGATTGGTGGCCCGAGCATTCTTTAGCTCTTCCAGGACGTGCACTATGTCATCCACGATGCAAGTCTTATCATTATTCAGGATACATATGTGGGCAAACGTGTAATTAAAACCAGGCCTTGGAACCTGGATCTTGGTCACAGCAGCATGCAACTGTGGGGAGAAATGACAGTCAGTGTTTATTACCAAAAGGTAGACATTAATAAGTGATATTACCTCTGTAGGCTCAACTATTTCTGTTCTCTGGTTTTTGAAGGAACGAGTCATTCATTCCATCTCTAAGCTAAAGAGTTCAAATGAAATATTATAACCTTAGACCAGAAACAGGGAGTAAGGATGCAGAACACACATTTGACCAGTGGTGCTCACATTGTGGCCCCTAGACCAGCAGCATCAGCACAGTCTGGAAGCTTGTCAAAAATGAAAATTCTCAGGCTCCACCCTAGGTCTGGTAAATCAGGATCTCTGGGGTGGAGCCCAGGAGTCTGGGTTTTCACAAGCCCTCCAGGGAATTCTGATGCAGCTAAGGTTTGAGAAGTGCTGCATTAAAGCATTATTTCCACATGTTCTGTGTTTGTGACTTAATCTATCTGTAATGGTTGAAAATATTATGTAGGTCCCCTGTTCAGTCTCCCTCTTGAAATGTAATGTAAAAAGTGACCTAAGCTGTAATCCTGAATGCAGAGGTCCTCTGCAGGCTTGTCCTTTGCTGCTAATTTGCAGGGCAGCTAAATTATTTTCTCATCAATTCAATCACTCTCTACCATAAAAGACAAGAGGTTCACCTTGAGGGTCCTTGTATTCTCTGGATTTCCTTGCCTGCATATATGGAAAGGGAGCTGTGATTGTACATGGCCGAATGGGATACATGGGAATCATGCCAAAGGAGAGCAATTGGATTTTCCCCGTGTTGAATTTGCTATGCCCAGGTACTAGACACCTACCATCAAAGTGCACAGGAGAATACAAGCACAAATGTAACTGTCCCTATTACATGCCAGGCACAGTTGTAGGCTTTTTATTCAGATTAACTCATTTCATCCTTAAAACAAACTATACAGGAGGTACAAGTACTAGTTTCATTTTACAGAAAAGGAAATTGAGACACAGAGAAGCCAAGTCACCTGCTCAGGGTCACACACATAGTAAGAGGCAGAGCTGGGCTTCACAAAGCAGTTTGGCTCCGGGACCTGTGCTCTTAGTTTCTCACCATACACCTATAGGTTGGCGATGTTAGCATCTGATTGAAGGTTCTTGCCAGCAATAATTGCTGAATTGTGCTTTTATGCCTCGCCCCTAAAAATCATAAGTGCTCAAGTTCAAGCATGTAGTATGGGTAATCTATTGTCTAAGATAAGAAAACGAGGCAGTAGGGGAGGGGCAGTGAGAGTAAGGGACTTAAATGAGTTATTACCTTGTGTTAGGGCTTCATGTCTTAAATTCTCTTAACAATTCATTTTACGGACAAGAAAACTGAGGCTTGGGGAGATCATTCAGGTAGTGGTGGTGAGACTAATCACTGCTTTTTAAAATGGCACCCTGTTACTGTTTCAGTGGTAGCTACATGGCTCTCTAATTTAACTGTTTTAATTAGCTAGCCAGTTATCCTCATGATGGCTTCACCTTCTCTGTGTAAAATGTGGCTAGTCTGCAAATGAGACCAGTGGCAGTCAAGTTGTTGAGTGTAAAGTAAACTAGTGCATCTAGAACTGTACCTAGCACTGAGTGGACTCTCCCAAGAGCATAGATAGCCACTACTGCATATCTGATGAATGAAGAACATTTAATCCATAGGAATATCAAATTTAATATCCACAGAGTTGCTATACTGTAGCTGTGCCATTACAACTCATAACCTTTTGAACATTCTCTTTGACCCTGATATATTTTCTCTCAAGTCTGTCCTAGATAATTTTAAAGACATTTTGCTAGGCATGTGCCTGGGTGAATGGGGTATTATGCTTTTTGGGGGCGGGGGTCTCACTTTGTTGCCCAGACTCTAGAGTGTAGTGGCAAGATCACAGCTCACTGCAGTCTTGAAATCCTAGGCTCAAGCAATCCTCTCACCTCAGTCTCAGGAGTAGCTAGGTTTACCGGCGTGTGTCATCGACCAGGCTAATTTTTCTTTTAATGTAGATATCGGTTCTTGCTATCTTGTCCTGGGTGGTCTTGAACTCCTGGGCTCAAGAGATTCTTCCACCTTGGTCTCTCAAAGTGCTGGGATTAAAGGCATGAGTTACCACACCTGGCTGGGTATTATGCTTTAAAAAAATGTCTGAGGGGCACCTTTTGTTAGCACAGAGCATGGATTGTTAATAATCCTAATTCTCAGTGCCCCCCTTTCCTGCATCTCTTCATGGGTACCAACCCTCAGAAAACACTTCATTGTATTATGCTTGGCTGAAATAGTTTGAGTTCTTTAATATATATATGAAAACCCACATGCATATACATACACACAAAGATACCTAGGAGGCTATTTTCACAAGCCTAACCATGTACTAAATGTTTGTTTTGATGCTTTGGGATTAATAGTGAGCAAAATATCTTCAATGGTTTTAAGCTGTGAAAGTGTGTTTTTATTCATTCTTCTTTAAGCATGGCCCAGTGAATTTTGATTAAAATAACTACCAACCACAACAAATTTCCAAAATATAAAAGGTTTTTTTGGAAGAGAGAAGAGCTAAGAGGAATTTAAAGACAAGAGAGAGTTTTGATAAGTGTTGAAAGAATGACTTTGGGGAAAGATTCAGAATAGGCTAGAAAAGGAGTGGTATTGAAAGCATGCATATGTGTAATATTTAGTGCATTGTTTGTTCCCATGAGCAGTGTAATAAATCTCCCTTAGAGTGATTACTAAATATGTCAAGAGAAAAAGATTGCCAAATAAGATGGTGTTAAGCCACAGGGCTGAACCCAATTATAGCAAGGGGATATTTTCCATTCATTCTCTAAGGCGACCATGCCCTGCTAGGTGGGGAGTTGTAAACTATTTAGTGATCTGCCAACTCTGCAGATCTACTGCTATGACCCCTGGGACCATACATTGAAGAAAGCAGACATCATGTTAAACCCTGTACAATCAGATCATAGGAGAGAGTCCTGGTAAGTGAGAGCCTTATTGAAGTTTGAGAGAAAAGGTTTCTTAACTCAGCACCAGAGCTGCTGTAAGATGCAGCTGTTTTGACTTTTCAATGGAGTGGTGGGTAGAACATGTGTCACTCTTGCTTCTGAGTGGCAGGATGATGCAGAGTGACAAAGCAACCAGGTAGGGGGAGTCTGTGGGATTTTACTGTGGGATAAGAGGTGAGAGGATAATAAGAGTTATAATGAGGAGTTGAGACTCCTTTCTATGACTTCTGAAATGGCTCAGTTCTGATCTTTGGTTCTTATGACAACACACACAATTCACTTTCAGATATCCATATAGCCATGGGCAGACACACTGCACATGCTACCCGGACATATACCTGTACAAGGTTTTAGAATGTCCTGATTTACTTTCCTAAAGGAGCCCCACCCAGGGCAGTAGAAACATTAGTGGATGTTCTAAACTGTGCTACCAGATATATTCACGGGGGTAAAGGAAGCCAGAGATCGAAGCTATGTTTCAAATAATCCAGAAAACAGACAACCACAATGCATACAAGTTTATTATTGAACTAGCTAAGAGACTCTCTTCTCAGAAAAGGAAGGGAAAATGACACAAAGTGATAGTTCTGATCCTTAACTCAGTCTGAATCTGTCATGTGAATCAACATATAATCCATGATTCTATGACTATGTATGGATTCTAGATTACTCATTCAACACTCAGTCAAGAAGTACTCATCAAATCTACTATGCTGTCAATAATAGCATAATTTCCCTGAATTTAGCGTGCTTGCACTCACTCATGGAAAATCACGAGATACAATGTCCAAAACAAAGGGAAGATCCTAATAGTAATCAATGCCAAGTACTTTGAACTAGTGAAGCCCAATCCAATGTCAATTTCAATCACAGTATTTTTGATTATTATTATTATTATTATTTATATTATTATATTTGCTTCAATAGAGCCCAGAACTAAATGTTAAAGTGAGATTCATTCTAACACTCTGAATATATTGTTTAAATTATTAGCGCCTTTGCTCTCATCACCCTTCAAGTTAAGAATGAAAATAATAATAGTAATTAGTCTGCTAAGTACTTTCTATACAATTTTTAAAATTTATTCAATACAAAGACTCTATGAAAGTGGTTAAATTATTATCCTCATTTTATAGCTGATACAACGAGGCCTAGGGAATTTCAATCACTCACCTAAGTTGACCCAGTAATAAAGGGTTCTAAATCAGGTCTTACTCCACAGCAGAATATTTACCATAGACCAACACAAATTCAGTAGTGAGGATGAAGAGAACTTAGGAAAAAGTAAGGAACTGTCAGCCCACCGGGTTCAAATGACTGGCAGTGCATATGACTGAACTGTAGGATGGCCACAATTAGAGAGCTGGGGTCCAATAATAAGACAGACCAGAAATATTCCGAACACCCAAACCTCATTTTCAGATAGGAATATCACATGGCAATGTTAACAAGTAATGAAGGGGATGGGTTTTGAGCTTACTGACTTTTCTTAATCTCCATCTAGCCTCTGGAGTTATTAAATACAACTTTTCAAAGACAGCCTTACAAAGAAAAAATGCCATGGGGACACAATGGAATCCAATGATAAAAAGTTTTGGCTTCCAGTAGCTTCTGATACCTACCACAGGAGTGTCAGAGACCTTGGGGATGTCACTCTACTTCTTTAGATCTGAGACTTCCGGTCTCAGATTTATCAGTAAAGAAAAGGGGGTGTTAATCTAGCTAATCTCTAAAAACAAACCCTTCCAGTTCTGACACTACATAATTTCTAAGATGAGTGGCATCTACAAACTATATAATTAGATACTGGGTGAGAGAAAGTTAACTTCATACATATCTTGAAATGTATTACAGCTGCTTGAGGTATGCTTTTCCAAAATATTGAAGTTCTTTTTAGGACAATGGGCAGATCTGATAGTAAATGAAACCCAGAAGGAAAACAGGGTCAAGAAAATAGGTTTGATTAAAAAAAAAGAAAGATTCCCTTCTCTGAGTGACTTCCCATTCCGGGGAGGCACTGG